TGGTTTGACGGCAGACGGTGACACTTTTCTATCACTCTGTGCGTTTGGTGACTGTTCCGACTTCCTCCCTGGCTCCGTATGTCATCGTCACGCCCGTGAAATGCCTCCCTGCCAAGCACGGTGCCCCAGGCCAGCCTCTCTGCACACTGGGGTGAAAAGCAATTATGAATATGAGGTAAATTTAATATTTTCCAAACACATTCTCCGAATAGTAATTGGCGTGGTGCCTTTGGGTAACTCCCAGGTACGGATGCAATGCTAAAAATAGATAGATATTTTGGTAACATTAGCATCCTGTAATGTCATATACTGTAATGTCATATCCTGATGGCATCGAGATTATACCCGTGAGAATGGAACCTTGGAAATCAGCGACTTGCTTCATAGTGCGACGCATGATTTATCTGTCACGCCTCGTGCGGATCTTGTGTATAATTTAGCCTTTTGGGATTGATTGATGAACTTATCTTTCATAGCGAGATAAGGAGAGATGAAAGGCCCAGTAGCTTCAGGTGTAATCTTGCAGGGATGAGCCTTTGCGTCGATATTTTATTCCGGGGGACAGCAAACGTATTGTGAGCTGGGGTCTCAACTATAGGTCAACATAACGAATCCTTTGAAGCTTATTGTTCCCATTATAATTCTGTGGCTCATGGAAATCGGCTAAATGAACCGCTGGCATTCTGTCTTGCATCTGCGGTGCTGAGGGGCTTGACAGCCGCAATAGCGATGAAGGGGTGGCGGCTCGGAAATCCAGGGGTACAGTAGCTGCTGTGGGTGTGATTGGGGGCGGTATAGGCTGCCCCGGTTTATTTTTATGACTATCTTCACTGCCCCCCCCTCTCGCAGAAGGCCGGCAGTTGGGGGGCGGGCTGGCGGTTGGGGGGCGGGCCGGTGGAGGCTGCTTCAGAGGCAGGAAATCAGATAGGCCGAGTTGATGTGTCTCGCTTTGGCGGACAGGTCGGTTTGTGTTGGGCCCAGAGGGACGCCTGACTCCTTGTGGATCTCGGCTTGTGTTCCCCCCGTTTTGACATGGGATAAATGGCGCCCCCTGCTCCTTGGCATGCAGCGGCACCTCCCTTCAGCATCACATGACTGCAACTGTGTAATGTCCTCACTGGGCGCTCTAATGTCTCACCGTTCCTGTTCATGATATTAATAAAGACGCGGAGAACAGTGGCAGCAGCTTCCTGCTGGTGCCGGTTGATCCCGAATCCGTTTGACGTCTCTCCTTGATCTGCGGCCCCGCTGCTCCTCCGGCACGTTCTGCAGATGCTGATTGGCTGGCAGGCGCTCTCATCCATCGCCTGTGGACCTTCTCGCAGAGATTAATGGAACCCCCCACCCCCGCCCGCTCCTCATGGCTCTTCACGGCCGGCTTTTCTCTCGTAGAGGGGGGGCTAAAAATAGCCACCCCCAGCCTGTGTCCTCAGCTCCCGGTACTGACACACGCATCAATTCCCATATTCTCCCTAATCCGTCGAGAGCTTGTTTCTCCATCTGCTGCTGTTGTTTCATTTCTGTCCTGTAGGGGGTGTCCTGACGAGGTACATGGCAGCAGAGCTCTGTCCTGAGCTTACCCCCCCCCCTCCCCCTGCTGAGAACCAGGGGTCAATGCTGCCACCCTGCTCATCTGCTAATCTCTATCTGCCATGCTCTTTACAGGAATGCCGGCCGCCGCTTCCATGATCTTAACAACCAGCTATGGTCATGTGACCATCCCCCCACTTACGATTGTCTCGATTTTGCCCCCATCCCCCGCTTCATCAGCAGTTTGCTGTTAATGCCGTTAAAATAGTGAATGACTTTGCACCGGCTTTGAACTTGTAGGAGTGATGTTTTTAAATGAGGGGTGGCCGGCGGAATTGTAAGTGAATTGCTATTTTAAGGCAGCGCAATGTCCTACCAAAACCACGTCTAAAGTCAATGGTACATTGTTAAACGGTATTTAAGCAGCGCGTTTTGGAAACGTGCGGGTGCACGGCCGCTGTTAGGGACACAGGTACGCGCTCGATGTGCACTAATGGTATTTTATTTTTATTTCATTTTTATACGTTTTATTATAGAGTACAACTGGTAATTTCACGTAATCATACGGATTTTCTGCTTTACGAAACGCCAAAAGAAAAACAATATAGGTCAGGTCAGGGAGCATGCAATGATGCAGTGCATTGCCGAAATCACCACATGGCGAAACTCCTCGGGATCCGGGACGGCTATTATATAGGCATGTATTAAGTAAAGAACAAACCGTGTCATTATAAAAATATCAGAATTAAGCACGTACTGTAACTGGAACGACTTTTGAATTGCTGAAAATGTGTTTCAGATGTTTAGCTAAAGTCAGCTGAGACATTACAATGCAGCCCTCGGAAGGTCGCGGCAATCTTTGTGGCATGGTGTATGTTGCCTGACATTGTCGTGCGTGATGGATCTCTGTTGGACATGAGGACAAAGAGGATGTAAGAAGGCGTGATGCTGAACTGCATGTGCTGATGCAAGCAAAGGAGTGTAAGCCTATGGAAAACCGTTATAACATTTAATCAAGTCACACTCCTATCCGTAATTACGTTTTAGATATTCACAATAGCTTTTCTCCTAGACAAAATTGTATTCTTTCTTGTCAAAACGAGCATTTCAGATATCCACAATTTTATTTCAGATATCCAGAATGTTCATTCAGGATTTCCATTCTGGATATCTGCAATTGAATTCTTACTAGGAAGAACTCCAATTTCAGATATCTACTATCCAATTGTTACTAGTCATAATTTTAATTTTGGACATTCAAAATTACATTATGGATATCTAAAATGGTGGTATGCTTTCGGATATCTTAAGTTATCTTAAATGACTATAGTAACAATTGGATAGTAGATATCTGAAATGGGAGTTTTTCCTAATAAGAATTTAGTTGCGGATATCCAGAATTCTGGATATGTGAAATATAATTATGGATATCTGAAATGAAAAGCCTAATAGACATGAATGGCAAGAGTGATGTAATTTCTCCTAGGAAGAATGACGATGTAGATATATGAAATGCTCTTTTTGACTGGGAAGAATTGAATTAGAGATATCAGCAATACATATCCAGTCTAGCGATTCAATGTTAAAACGGCCTGCCATATAAGCTGGTGTTCTGACGAGTTGAGCTACCTATGGAGATATACTATCGAGCCTTTTTGCGCATGTGCAGTTCCACCGTTTGGGGGTTAGGGTTAGGTTTTTGGGGGGTTAGGATTAGGGTAAGGGTTATGGTTAGGGCTATCGATTAGCACTACGGTAGCCTAACTCGACAAAGTAGCTCAACTCGACAGAACACCGGCAGCAGCGCGGGCGAGGAGGGAGCAGCTGGCCGAAGAGGCGAAGCGTCGGTAGCTGGGTGAGGAATCTGAATTGTGAGAGCAGAGAAATAAGTCTTATTTAACATTTTAAAATGTCTTAAAACTGTAGGTTGTTTTGTTTGAACAAAGGACGCATTTATATTTTGCAGAACCAAAATTAAAATAAAAACACACACAAATATAACGAAGTTGGCCTTCCCAGCCGCTGCTGTCGGTCCGCCGTCTTCGGGCGCCTTAAATTTATACCGCTTTGGGCGCCGCGCGGATGGTCTGGTGACACCGGAAAACGGGCGCATGTAATGACACCCTTACCGCTGCAGCAGAGTTCGTGTCAATAAACTGTTTACAAATGTTTAAAGTTTGTTTTTTATTAATTAAGGACTTGTTTGCATTTAGCTCTATAGTACAACCTACATGTTTTATTAGTTTATTAATGCATATTTAGCTCAACAGCGGTAAGTTTTATCGAATACAACTAAAATACATACATATCTCTAAAGAGCTTAATATACATAAAGAATGAAATAAAACCGAATATACATTATTAATCTAATAAAGCATGTCAGTGAGACTATTCTTATCAAAAATGTGCTTATAATCGCTAAAAAAACATCGCTATCAAGCCAAATATACATTGACAATCGAATAAAACCCAGACTAAATATGAACCATTTCTTAATTAATGGAAACACTTTTTAAGAAACATTTGTAAACGTATTAGGTTAAAATGCACGTTAATTTCATGTCTTAAAAGGGCAAATGCACACAAATATACTAGAAATGTATTAGACATTAGAAACAAAATGGACCTGATTTAGTTTTATTAAAACCGTCTTTATCGGTCATACGCTATGGTTACCGCCTGCCGCTGCTCCTGAGCCCCACGTGTCTGCAGCCGGGGAGCCTCCGCCTGTGCTAATGCTAATGTGCTATATGGCGGAGACCCGACTTATTAATGCTGTAGCACCGAGCGCAAAGACTGGTGTTCGCTGTAGATCATGGCTGCCTACGTTTCTGTTCTGGCTACAGCCGCATTGTGGCCGGATGGGATTCGACCTTTGCTGCCCCCTCGCCATCCTGTCCTCCTCCTGACGGTGTTCCATCTATGTGCTTATGATAAGGTTAAAGGCTTCAGGAACCTTCCCTGGAGCTTCATTAGCATAATCCGATTTTGAGGCCGTTCCCCCCGAGCAAAGGTCTGTAGTGCGGCTCCCCTACCGGGAAGGACCTGCGTTTGGGCTCTCTGGAGTTCCACAGTGCGTATACGGTGTGTGTGTGTTTGTGTGTGTGTGGGGTGGGGGTGGGGTTTCTGGTGTGCCGTGTCAGGATTCCAGTGTGACTTGGCAGAACATAGGATCCCTGTATGGACAATGAAGCCAGGTTGGCTAAATCAGCCCTGATACCCACAGCTGAACCCCCTCCAGGACAGACTGCAGGCCACGCCTCCCCATTCCCTGTCATCTGTTTTTTTTCTCGTGCCAGTTTGGTTTGGTTACGGTCATTATTTGCAGCAGGACTGATGGGGTTTTGCTGGACTGAGGCTGAACAGAGGGGTTTCTGGGATGTTGTCAGTGAGGGTGGGGAGTGTCAGGGGACACTCTGATCCTCCCTGGCTGTGTGCTGATTTGGGTCCCCCCCCCCGCTGCTCCCCAGCCCCTGAACATGCACTGCAGGACCTGTGCCCTGGTGACCAGCTCAGGGCAGCTGATTGGCGGTGGCCGCGGCAGGGAGATTGACAGTGCCGAGTGCGTCATCCGCATGAACGACGCCCCCACACAGGACTACCAGCGCGACGTTGGGGACCGCACCAGCCTGCGCGTGGTGGCACATTCCAGCATGCAGCGTGTGCTGCACGGCCGCAGGGAGCTGCTGAACGGCAGCCGGGACACTGTGTTCATCTTCTGGGGCCCCAGCGCATACATGCGGCGTGACGGCAAGGGCCTGGTCTACAACAACCTGCGGCTGGTCAAGCAGGTGCTGCCCGAGCTGCGGGTCTACATCATCTCACGGCAGAAGATGCTGCAGTTCGACGAGCTCTTCAAGAGGGAGACCGGCAAGGACAGGTGGGTAGACAGCTGTGATCGTTCACAGACCCTTCCTGCTATGTTCTGGGGGTGTCGGAAGGCCATACACTCTTGGGTAGGGGGACTGAGGTCTGAAATGCTTAGCCTCTGTAGCCTGTTTGCTGGCGGAAGCTGCAATTATGGTAGCTGTGTCTCCCCTGGACCCCAGCGTTCCATCTGGTGACGTGGGGTGTCAGTGTAGAGCGTCACTCCGTATCGGACAGCCTGGTGGACAAACGGTGAATGTTCAGGAGTACAACAAGTGTTAAAGTACCAGAGCTGAGGTGGAGGCTTTAGGACCCCAGGGGCCTGCGAGTGGGGCTGTCTGCTGCAGTGCCTGAGAGAAAAGCACTGGCAGTGCTACATCACACCGGCAGTCAGGTTGCGGACCCCTGGCAAAGACCAGATGGGGGCAGATCTGTCAGCTCGAACCTCAGCACAGCCACGTGAGCAGACTGCTGACAAACCGCAGGGACGCAAGCCTTTAATCAGGAAGCCATTATCAGCTCATGTAATATCTGCCTTACAAGGGGAGCGAAATTATAATCCTCTGAAAGAACTTAAATTAGTATTCACCCTGGTGGAAATTAACTGTGGATTCAGACATACTTGGAGTTAATTAAAACCCCGATAATTAGCTGGAAGCATCAGCTCTCTAGGGGGGAATTCTTCTGTTATTTTTTGCTGTTCATTTGTGAAAATAAGAGATTGGTTGAGCAGGACAAAAACACGATCTTATTACGAATGCCACGTAGGATGTCAGAAGCACTTTAAGGTCGGCTCCCACGGAGCCTTCGCCTCATCACCAGCCTGTTTTCACCATGCAGACAAACAGAGGTTTTTAATGGTGCCTGCCCCGCCCAGCCCCACCCTGCCCAGCCCCGCCAGAGCTTGACCTCTGACCTTTTCACACCTGTCGCTCACCTGATGTTCAGGGTGTGGCCCATGGGCTGATCAGTGATGCCCCAGAGCAGCTGGCTGTTTAGCACGTAGAACAGGACATCCCGATGGTGTGTATCAGAAAGGGGAGGGGTAGTGACATCACTAACCAGCAGATCAATGGGCCTTAGTGCAGGATGTGAAAAAACTAATCACAACCATTAGCGTGAGTGCGGGGGTGACCCGAGGGGGACCTTTGATGGCCTGTGTGAGATGGTTACCTGCCCCCCTCCCCCTTTTAATCAGATAGTTAGTTAGTTAATGAAATCAAGCCGGGGGCTGGACAGCCGAGGGGGGGCTGCTCTGTCACTGCCATAGGCTGATAGCAGCTGGTTTTCGCTGATTGATACAAACATTAATACAGAGGTCGGCCATGACACAGCTCAATATTTAATACCCTCAGTTAACCCTTAACCTCATGCCTTGTGCAACGCAACCGAAACATTTTGTCTCCTGGCAACAGGTGTATCGATCCTCATGTAGCTCGGCGTGATACAGGGAGATGGCTGTGTGATGGGCTTGGTGCAGTAACTCTCCCCCGCCATGAGGGGGCGTTCCCAGGCTGCATCCACCTTTCCAATACAGGCCAGTAGGGCTTCTTTGTCATTTTTACTGCTGGAGGTGTGAGATGTAAGAGGGTGGAGGTGAGTTTCCTAACGTAATATTACTACCTGCAATTATGTCGTTTACCTGAGCAAGCAATCAGTGGTATAATTAATCATTTAATA